TTGCCTGGAGATGCTGGCCGTGTTTCGAGCCCTCAAACACTTTCTTCCAGATCTAAGGGATCGCCATGTGCTGGTGCGCACCGACAACACAGCGGTGGTCTTTTATATCAACCACCAGGGAGGTCTGCGTTTGCGCCCCTTATGCAAGCTAGCGCATCAGATCCTTGTGTGGTGCGAGCTCCTCTCGCTGAGGGCAGTGCATATTCCTGGGCATCTCAATATGGGGGCAGACATCCTGTCGAGGCAGGGGCCGAGGCCTGGGAAATGGATGCTTCACCCCGAGGTGGTGAAGCAGATATGGAGAGTTTTTGGCCAGGCTCAGGTGGACTTGTTCGCGACTCAGACGACATCGCAATGTCCCCTCTGGTTCTCTCTGACTGATCCAGCGCCACTGGGGCTGGATGCGATGGTACAGATGGTACAAACTCCCGGGAGTTCTAGAGAGAGTACGTCGGGATGGGGTCCGTCTATTGCTAGTAGCCCCGTTCTGGCCGGGCCGAGTATGGTTCTCGGACTTGATTTCTCTCCTCGACGGCACTCCATGGGAGATTCCCGTCAGGAGAGATCTCCTCTCACAGGCGGAGGGTCTTGCAGAGTTGTGGAAGCTGTGGGTGTGGCCCCTGAGGGGGCACAACTCATAGCATCTGGTCTCTCAACCGAGGTTGTTGAGACCATCCTCCAATCTAGAGCTCCCTCAACGAGGAAACTGTACGCCCTGAAGTGGAGGCTCTTCACTTCATGGTGCGGAGACCGCCTGCTTGACCCAGTTAACTGCCCGATTGGTACAGTGCTGGAGTTCTTGCAGGCCCGTTTCTCCACGGGGTTAACCCACTCCACCCTGAAGGTCTAAGTGGCGGCCATAGCGGTCTACCACGCCCCTCTTGGTGGTCACTCGGTGGGCAAGGACCCTCTGGTTACACGTTTCCTTCGCGGTGTGATGAGGCTGAGGCCTCAGGTATGATCTCGTGTCCCTCCTTGGGACCTCGCTGTGGTGTTAGAAGCTCTCTGTAGGCCTCCCTTTGAGCCGACGATATCAGATCGTCTTCTTACATTAAAGACTGTGTTTCTCTTAGCAGTATCTTCTCTAAAGAGAGTTGGGGATCTGCAAGCCCTTTCTGTGGCTCCTTCCTATCTCGACTTTGCGCCCGGTCTGGCCAAAGCCAGATTTTTTTTTTTATACCCTCGGGCGGGGTATGTCCCTAAGGTCCCCTCCTCTACACCACGGCCTGTCGTACTCCAGCCTTTTTATCCTCCTCCCTTTAGGGAGCCCGACCAGCAGAGGCATAATTGTATGTGTCCAGTGCGAGCACTGGACGCTTACGTCCACAGAGCTGCCCAGTGGAGAAAGTCGGACCAACTGCTTGTGTGCTATGGTCCCCCTAAGAGAGGTCATCCTGCTTCCAAGCAGACCCTCAGCCGGTGGATAGTTAATGCCATTACTGTTGCCTATGAGTCCTCTGATCTCCCCTCACCATTGGGGGTCAAGGCTCACTCGACAAGAAGTGTGGCGGCCTCCAAGGCCTTTCTGGCAGGAGTTCCTATGCAGGACATCTGCAACGCTGCAGGATGGTCTACGCCCCTCACTTTCATCAGGTTCTATGACCTAGATTTGCGAGCCACTCCAGTCCCCTCTGTTCTCTTGCCATAGCCGTGCCCTTTCACACCAGGCAGGGATTTGCAAGTCTGGCGGCGTGGACATCTCGTTCCCCTAGCGTTTTCCGATGCAGCTCGAGTTCCCGAAGGGGAACGTCCCAGGTTACGTATGTAACCATGGTTCCCCAATTATATATATATAATTTTTTACAGGCCTGAAAATTGCAATTTTTAAAATTGGCTATTGCAATCATCTGGCTTGGCCTAAAGCTATGACACAATAATCATTAACTAATAAATATGAATTCGAAGACTGCACTATTAATAAACTGTTAAATTCCCTTGTATTAAAAGCCACCAACACTGTTTACTGAGCCATATTCATGCTGTATTGACTCAAACAAAACTTCGACTGACACATTACACCACAAACAAACGTATCTGCTTTAACACAATATAATCCTTAAAAAAAGCACAATGTTAGCAAAAGTCATAAACACATGAAACCGAATCAGAAAAAAAACAGGCAAATAAAATTGTATTATTGTGTACACATAAAAACAACTCATTCAAGACATCAAACAACTTCAGCACAAACCTTATTTATTACATGCATTAGTAAATAAGGTTTGTGAGAATGAGTTTGTTTAATTTAAGGTCTGAATTTATAGTCTGAAGCGTAGACTATAAACTGCAGGATTTACTTGAGCGGGGAAATTCATTTCACACAGCCCGGGTCCCTGGAGCTTTAGACGTCACCAGAGGCCAGAGAGGAGGGGAAGCATTCAACTCGAAACTCTCCATGCAAGACTCTTCCATGCCAATTCAATAAACGCAAAGAGCTCAGCCTCCCCTAAAACCCCTTGACTCTAGCGAACACAGAACATGACTTGAATCTGCTCTGGACTGAGGTATGAATTAATAAAGTTAAACTTCCTACTGCATATGTAGTGAACAAAAATGTGAAACTCTCTTACAGCTGAGATTTTTTTTTAGATTTCCATGATATTTTATGGATTTGGCAGATGCTCTTATCCTGCAATGTATATATTTCACCAGTATTCCCTGAGAATCAAACTCATGACCTTGGCGTTTATTTGAGCTACACCAATTTGAGGAACATCTTTTAATTAATTAGTTTTGTTAAGAAATGTATTTGGTGTAAAACACAAATTTCAAGCCTTTAGGCAGACGCATTTATATATATATATATATATATATATATATATATATATATATATATATATATATATATATATAT